ACATGCAACTTTTTGAATTTTAAATTTAAAATAAGGTTTTAAAAACAGTTTCCAACTCACATTAGCCACACTGTCAAGTGCTCAGTAGCTACGAGTGGCACCATGTGGAGCAGTGCAGATAAGAGTATTTCATTGTAGAAGGTTCCATTGGACAACGCACTGTTCAAGAAATTGGCACTTTATGGAACTGAGCCAATCTCACGTTTAGATCTAGAAAGGGTAAGAATGTTTGATCGTTGTGGCCACCAGCACTGGCATCCCTGGACTACTACAAAAGAAAAAAGGGAGAAGTCCTGGAATTTGGCTGATTTTCTTCATTTACTAACATCTCCAAAGAAAGAACAGCAGTTTTCATCTCTATAAATGTTCACCTTGCGCCTGTCTTTTATTTAACTGTGCCTTATAGAGGGTTAGTTGGTCTGTTGGCCTCTACTCTGTAAATATCTGCTAAGATACATCTCCTAATGGCATTCATGGAAGGCCGGACTTAGAGCTTTGTCTAGGCTGCAAATTCACGTCCCGTCCCAACTTGCGGCGATTATAGGAGCGTGAAAGAACACGACAATGTGGGTCTATGGTGGGTTTCATATTCTGAAGTCTTATCTCGAACACTTATCTTTTATTTTTAACAGTTAGACAGAAAAGTGAGTTTTGAAGAACTCTGGAAAGGTGTGTTTGCAGGAGTAGGAAGAGCACAGTAAGCACACGACGCTCCTGAAGAGGGTGGCCACCTTGCAGGAGAGTGACCTCAGGGTTTTCAAATCCCTGCTTTAGGGGCAGAGATCAGAGGTGGGGTGCCCTTGTGCTTGCCCCAGACAAACTCAAGTCCATCAGACCGTGGGGCTGTGTGTCCACACTTGTCAGTGTGACAGAGGCACAGTGAGAAGGGAGATAAGGCCACGGCAAAAGAAATTTAACCCGCAAATGAGATAAACTGGTTTCACTTGATTTTTAAAAATGAGACTCATTCCTTAAAGCCTCCCCATCCAAACGAACATACATACCCTAAAAGCAAAACACACCCCAAAACCATCACACATCACTTTCACCGAATCCTTATATAACCATGGTGGATGATGGGCCTGCTACCCACAGGAAAATGGCTTTTAGCACAGCTTGTCTTGCAAGCAGAGATGAAGCAGGGGAGGGGGGAGTAGTCAAGCCTATTTGCTTTACTGTTACAGGTTATTTGGTTTTCAGTAGTGGGTTTTGCATTAAACTGGAATAGCTTTGGCTCATTTGAAATGTATTATATATCAACCATTAATAAGTACAAAATAACAATATACTTGTAACAAGTATATTATGTACTGTCATAATATACATAACTAAAATGTCAGTAAGCATAATATAAGAACTCATCTGGCTGGGGGGTATGGATTCCTAGGAGGCGCATGAGGAATTTAGTAAGGGGTTCCTTATGATACAGGATATCCCTTAGTGAAACTAACTTACATAAAGCTCAACGGTTATACCTCTAAGCAAATCATTGATTTTGTACTAGCATGAGCAATTAAACCAGAAAATATACTTTTTATTAAATGTAAAGCTAGACTTATTAAAAGTAATATATACCAAACTATCACTTCACTGATAATTGAATTAGCACACTGTAATTTTTCTTTACTTTGCCTCAATGTGTTTATTAAAATGAAAAAAAAAAAAAAAAAACCCAGCAGGTTTTTAAAAGCATATTATCCTTCATCCATTAATTAATCAGCCTAGTTATTACTTAAATCATTATTGGAAGGCAAACTAGTCCCACTGCTGTTCTTCTATTAAATGAATATAACTAAGCATCTAACAGAAGCAGTTTGATTACAACAGTTGTAATAAACAAAAATACAGTTTGAGTTACTTCTCAATCTTAATTTAGTATCTATATAAATGAAAACCCCAGGATTTATAAGGTCCACTTCTGTGAAACAGTTGCAAATTCTATGCTGTTTTCAATAATTTTAAATAATTTTAAAGCTTCACCAAGAACCTAATGGTGGCAATTCTGATGTTTTTGATGTTCGTGGCAAGATCTATAAAAGATTACGTGTTTAAAACTTGTGTTTGTCTTTAAATACTCTCATTATAAGAAAGTAATCTGTTAAAACTGGGTATTTGTAGTACCAAACTGGTATTATATTGCCAAAACACAATCTTTAATATCTTTTCATAGAAAATAGTTCACATAACCTCTGCTTAGTGTATTATGAACTTATCAATATTAAAACAAATTCATAAAATAATAAAAAACATTTAAGACAACAGCAAGGCCTGTAAATACAACATTCAGACTCAAATTTTGGGGGAGAAATTTTGTTTTCCAATTTTCTTTGCCCCAGGATGTAATTTTTCCCTTTTACTGATACCTGACAGGCTTCCATTTTAATATTTATAAACACACATTTCTTGTGTAGATTGCCAGTAATAAAGTTTATTCAAGTGTCTAATTCCTGAGTCTGAAGTTCTCATAACCTAGCTTTTGCTAAGTTCTCAAGTCTGATTGCCCAAACTTATGTGAAAACTTGATGTAAAAAAAGCCACATGGTGCAAATAGTTTCTTAATAAGTAGTTTCTAAATTTTACAAACTGTACACATCGTAAGGGAATATACAGATACAGACATTTACTGATGAAAGAAATTACTGAAATACCTAACTGTCCATGATGCTATACTATTCAACCTCTGCAATTGGCTACAACTCAGATCACTCCATTTTCTCAGGAAACTATGTTCTTTCTTACTGGAAATCAGAAACCTTAAAAACAACAGCCCCCAAAATGGAAGACTTTAATGAAATAGATGAAAACAGGCAAAAGTTATTGAAATCCTATGGAAAAATAACAGACATCTTCAGAGCCTGATGTTACACCTCATAGATCTTAACAGCCTCACTATCCTCTTATTTCACACACTCTTTGCAAGTAGATTCTTCTGCTTGTCAGACATGACCTGAGACTTTAAAAATGAAAAAATCTGCCATAATGTACTTAAAACCTTGCATATTCTAAAGGAACTAGAAGAGACATTTGCCAAGGGCATGATTTAAAGTTGTTTTTTTTTTTTTTTGCTGTAAAAAAGCAAATGAAAACCTGCTTAGCAAAGAGTCCATTGGCTTCATTTACTTACAGGAGACAAAGAACTCAAGATGGTAACCAGGCTGTACCCCACCCAGCAGTCTGGGAAGGCATAACGAACCCCACACTGTTCCCAGGGTGGGGCAGGATTTCAGCTACTACAACACCCCATGTTCCCTCTGCGGTCAGTTTCTACCCAGACAACATGCTGCAATACAGCTTTTAGAAAGCACCCAAGAATATTTCTTTCTCAGAAATACTACCATCATAATCACTCTTTCAGGAAAATAGATTTTAAGGAATTACCCCTAAAACTTTAAAATTGAGATTCCATTACTTATCATTGAATGGGAAATTTTTAAAGGGAAAAAAAGATTCAGCTTTCCTAACGCATGGCTAGTCCTCTGCTCGGTGGTTCTTAAAAATAATTTATGTAAAGCAGGCTTTTCTCTAAATATACTGTGCTCTCTCATATACACACTGAAAATAATATTTGCATACAGCGAGTGTATGCACTGATACACACATGGTAAAAAGTTAAAAAATATGGACTGCATAAATCAGTAGCTGATTTTAAATACACACCAACTTAAACAGATTTGTTTGCAATTTCTAAATTCTTCAGGTAGAAAAGATCTTTCTTCCTGGCTGTGGTTCTAGAAGATGTTTATACTCTCGAGTGTGCAAAAATGCTTCTCCATATAAACAAAGAAAGAAAGGTTCCAGGATCTTGGTATTCTAACCTTGCCTTTGCTATTAAATATCCACCCGAAGAATGTGATGGAGACAGCCAAATCAGTCTGTCATGCTACAGTAAACATGATATTTTGTGTGCTGCTCAAGACATTTTTTCTCATGAATATAAGTTGCCTGCCATTTATTATGAGATTCCCCCCACCCCGATTGACACCCCATTATGTATATTCAGTCAAGCTCAAACGAGATTTCAAGTGATCAATATACTATTTGTGTTGAAAGTCTATTAGCAGCTCTAGCAATACACTCTGCAGAGGAACAAAAATGGAGAGATATTTAGTGAACTGAATTAAATGGAAATCCATGTTTTGGGTGGGGGGCCAGGGGGAGGGGGCAGAGACCAGAAGGCAGAGAAACCAGGGGGAAAAGAAGGCAGCGAAGATGTTTTTCCTAATCAATGTTTTCCTTAGCTTTCTAGACGCTGATCACTGATGCGATGCATTAAATGTCTAACAATTTTTCAAAACCATCTTAAATTACAGGTTGAGGATTCTAAAGAAGCAGGAAGGGGTTTCTTTCTGAAAACATAATTCCTTTCATGAAGAACCATACTTGGAAGTGTGTGATATCCAGAAAGTGGAGCAGGAGGACCCAGGTCTGGGAGAGCTAGAAAATGCCAGTTCCCAACGTCTTTGGGTGAATTAGCAATGGCCTCCTGCATACTTTAACATTTTCCATTTTATAACCGAAGTGCACATGACAGTCATCAGTGGAGCCAAACAAATATATCGGTTAATATACATGGTAGGAAAGCTAGCTCAGTATTAGCCAAAGGGTTTTGTTGAGCACAAAAGAACTCTGCTCCTGAGACGGGATGGGTCTACATATTGGAATGCCTGACACAGAAGATTAGAATAGGCAGGGCTACCCAGAAAGGTGGGACATCTGGAGAAGTGTCAATTCTACAACCATGAAAAATAATGTGTAGGGACAGGCAGAGAAGAATGCCAACTGACAGCTGTGACGGCGGCTGTAGAGTTACATCACGCTGGGCAAGGAACCACATTGGTCTAAGTTAAGCATCTCTCCCCTTGGGCCCAAGGGGCTATCACCTCCTTCCAGTCTTATTTGTGAAGCTAGAATTTCAGATAGAAAGAATGAAAATGAGAAGAACAGTTCTGCATAGAGCCCCACAATTATCAATATTTGAGTATTTGGTTCACTGAACTTACAGTTTGAACCACTCTCAGGCAGAAGAGCGCAGTCACTATCCACGGTAGCCAAGGAATACCTGCAACACCAAAATGTTTAGATCATTAGCACTCTGGAGCGTTTCCAAATTCCATGAGTAGCCAAGATTTACAGAAATTTGACCAAAGGAGATGCATCCTGAACTACATCTGGACAAAAGCTATTTCTAGTATCTTTAGTTCTAAAACCTAGAGCATGAATACTTTTAAAACAGGCAATCTAAAAGCAGACACATTGATTGCAAAAGTACTTTGTAATATGAACCACTGGGCTGGTTACTGTCTCTTCTTGAAGGTCCTACATGCTAAAATATCCCAAGCACATTGCAGGATCCACCAATCAATCACATGACCGAAACAAAAACTCCCCTCCACCCTAGTTCTCCCCCCAAATAAATGCAAAACCCTAAATAGCAATTCTAGTCTGTGTAGAACAAATGTACTGTAGGAGGCAAAACGTGCACACCAAAGTGCATTCTTTAATTTTGTAGAGATGTATGTGCAAGTATTTAATGTGACATAATTTTAGAAGAGCAAGTTTCCAAATAGTTTCTTAAAGGTAATTCCAAACCACCTAACCCAATACTCATACATGCCAAATTATGTGCATATATTAATTTTTAAATACTTAATGCCAATGATATTACTAACATTACTGACCCTACAATTCTCTGTAATAAGTGAATGAATAAAGTATATTGTCACCAATTTCCTTGCAAAACACACATAAGCGGATATTCTCAAATGGCAAACGGCAGATTCTTGGAGGTTAACTTTAAAAGCAGTCAGACATCAATCAGATGCCCCTTTCCATCTTGCAAGACTCTGAGTGTCCTAAAAATCCCCACTGTACCTAAACTGTCTCTTATGATAAAAAAAAAAAAAAAAAAAAAAGAGGTTTGTTGGCAGGTGAAAGCAGCCCAGGTGTTTATTCAGCCGCCGCATTCACTGTGCTGGGAGATGAGTTTTCTGGAATGTTCCTCATACAACGCTATGTACATATTTACTGTCGGAACTCAAAGAGGTACTGTACTGGAACCTTCTTACAATGCAATTAACTGTGCAAGTGGGCAGAGCTAACTTTGACAAAATAATCACTGCAAATCTTAGAAAAAGACCCTCTTTGAAACCAGGTTGCCAGTGTGAGCAACGCACCAAAACATCCTACCAATTTGATTCCTGAAGCCAAAAGTGAAATCTATTTTGATTTTAGAATGACCAGCAACTGCAGGCAATTTACCTGATTGCATGTGCCTCATGAAATTTCAAAACCTTCCAGGTGCTAGGATTTGTAGGTGTGGCTTGTGAATTTAAAGGAAGGGGAAAATGATGATATAAAAAGGAAAACAGCAAAAGTGGTTTCAGCAGCTTTGAATTTTCATTAGTGCCAAAGGCAACAAGCAATTTTCACCTGGGGCCTCACTGAGACTGGAATGACTTAAGATACTGCTAACTGGCCACCCCTTCCAGATTTAGAAATGCATTAATTAACGCCAGTCATCAAGGGAAAAGTATCATTTTCTCTTCTTTAAATGATTTATTTGTCTTAAAAGTGAATGGCAACAGGAAGCGGGCGTCCTTTTGAAAACCTGTTTTTTAAACAAGGAAAGAAAAAGGTCTCTCTCACTTGGTCTCGCTCTTCTCCCGTGGCCAGACCCACTGTCTGCAGTAGATGTGCGGGTAAGCATGGCTGTGATGATAATGATTATGATTTTATAATGCTTCCTTATAAATTTGTGAATTTTTGCGAGTTTATGAACAGCTCTTTCTTCTGAATTGCTTAAAACATTTCCTTTCCTGTAGATTTGCAATAAGCTTTGAAATCGGGTTGCAGAAATGGCTTTCCTCTAATCTGACATGATATGACTGGGTTCTGATCGAAGAACCAGGCTTATTTATCTGTTCCCTGCTCCGCTTGTGTATCTCTGTTCTGGGAGGCCAAGCGCTTGTCTATTCCTCAAGGAGGTTTATTGCCTAGAAATGAGTCCCTTCTTTAAAAAAGAAAGAAAAGCCTTACTTTTAAGAATACCCAAGTAAAAATCATTCTTTTTGGCTTCACTATATGTTTTGGTATTTGTCCTTCGGATCATGTCATTTAGCCTCAGGATCTTAAAATGTGGAAGCAGTTCCCACTTCATATCCGTTTTCTATCAAGATCAACCTCTCAAAGTTAAATGGATATTTTAACAAGATGACGGGTGAAACTGAGGAACACTGTGCTTTTCCATAAGACGTACTTACGGGGTAAAGCTTACCCTCGAATTTTTAGTTATTATTTAAATAAACGTAAATCCCAATTCTAGAAATTGCCTCTCTGCACCACTGCAATTGTCGAATTCCTTTCCTGGCCTTTCATGCAGATACTAAGAAACAGGGTGGGGCTCTGGGGCTTGCATGCAATGTTAAGAGAGTCTGTGCTGCAAAGAAAACTCAATTAATCGTTCATATTGCAGTTTTTCAGTGTCCTTCACAAATACCTTTGAAATCATCATGTTAGGAGTACCACTACTTCTAATGTTAAGATTTAGAATGAAATCTTTGTGCCAAGCCAAATGTGCTGTGCACAAGCACAGATGATAGGTATTGAAATGAAGGTGACAAGTCAAGGAATCAGGGGGGAAACCTTCCCTGAAGAGAGATAGAAGGAGACCAGCTTCACTGGTCACCATGTCTCTGTTGAAGCTTTTTTCTGCTCCCTTTTTGTTTTAAGAAGAGGTATAGTTCTTAGGGTCTAAGGTAAAATCCGCCCCTGCTAAGCCATGCTGGTTCCCTTATGAGTCAGCAGGCCACTGAGCAGTTCAGACAGTGCAGACCAGAGTAAATGAGCAGGAGCTGTCTTTGGACACACCCATTTTACTAATCCTGACTCTCATCTTTTAAAAAATCATCTCCATGCCACTTGGTTTCTAATCTCAGAACTTGCATCAAAAACTGCACCCGTCCACCTCCACCAAAGATTCAGGTTCCAATGAACACTAATCCTCTGGCCCTTATATTGAGAGCAGTTGGATTACGGTTTATTTCTTGCTGGATGGGCCACTCCTGTTTCTCTAGTCTGCATGTTATCAGCTTGACATTTCCTTCAGTGGCATATGACAAATCAAATTGGCCATCATTGCACTCATCAAACGAGGATGTTTTCTATTTCCCAGGACTGTTTCCTCCACTCCTTTTACAATCACGGACACAGCACACACACAAGAATGTCTTGCATTTTTTTGGGGGAGGGGGGACATTGGTAAGCAATAATGAATGGCTACATCTCGCGGTATGGAAGGAAAAAGCAACCAACAGCCATAAAGCCAAGAGCACAGTGTCAAAATATGAATTTAAATACCCAATGCCTACACCTTAAATTTAAGCATTCATCCAAAAATGCAGATATTATTCGCTTTCGAAAACTTTACCAAAAGCTGAATTATTTCCCATCTCTTTTTTGCATGATTCAGCACTTTTAATACTAATTTTTGCCAAGAAATTAAAAGGTAAAAGGAATTTCTTCTGGGCTCCTTAAGACCTCACACACTCTTTAGTGAGCCACTTGCTCTCCTGCAAGTGATATGACAGGGTCATATCAGAAATGGGGGGAGATGGGTAGGGTGTCACCCGTTTGCTGCGGTAACATTCGGTAACCACCTCGGAGCAGGGCAATGCCTCTCCCCGGAATCTAAGTGGCTTTGGGGGACGGAATGACCCACCGCAGAGGCTTCGCCCGGTCTCAGGTTCATCCTCCCCAACACCTTCTCGCCCAGGAGCCACACACGCAGGCACACTCCATTGCACCTGTGTAATCTCCATCAGCTGCAGCCGCACGCTCCCACCTGATGTCTTTTCAACCTTTGTCAAGTATCTCAAGACAAGAATTTCCCGAAGCCCTTCCCCCAAATCCAGGCTTTCGCGGGAGCCCCCCAACCCGCAGGAGCAGGAAAAAGCCACCGAGATGGCGAGAAATGGCTCAGCAAACTTCCTCCGCACGGACCCGCACGCGCCCCGCGCGGTCCCCGCAGCATCCCACGCCCGCAATGCACACTCACCTGCGGGTAGGAGAGCCGCGCGCCCCAGCGGCCAACCTCGCGTCCCGAACTCCGCCCGCGAGCCTCCACGCCCCGTGCCGGAGCGCCCTCAAGGGTGCCGGGGACCGCGGGCCGGCTCCGGGCTGGGCGGCGGGACGCCTGGAGGAGGAGCGCGCCCCGGAGGGTCCGCGCCGAGCCTGAGCGAGCGGGCGAGCGGGGCGGGAGGGGCCATTTGTAACCGAGCAGACGCTACCACCGCCCCTTACTCGCGGGGGGCGGGGGCGGGCGGTCAGGTGACGGCGGCCCACCCTCCGCCGCGGAGCCGGGTGGTTCCTGCCCAGGAGGAGCCCCCTGGCGCGCTCTGATTGGAACTCCCGCCGCAGTGGCGGGGGAGGGGGGCACGTGACAGCCCGGCCCCGCGGCCCCGCGCGCCCCACCCCGCTGGGCACCCCATCTTCCTCCTGGAAAAGCCGGGGGACACAGGGAAGGCGGGGGGGAGCACGTGGGGTGCAGGAGAGCCTACCAGCCCCTTAAGCTGCATCAGCGGGTGCTCCCGCCGGCCGAGCCCGGAGAGGGAATGGTTCCCCTGCGGCCGGCTGGCCTTCTCCGCGCTCACGCCCTACCCTGAGCCGCAGTACCCTCCCCTTGGCCGCAGGACCCTCCCCCAGCCCTTCCAGGCCTGGGCACCCGCTGTGTAGACCACCGCCATTCCATAGATGCCAGTGGCACTTAAAGTGTGTTTTGTTTGTTTTCTCTGTGCACCGGCACGCTGTGCTAGAGAGAAACCACCGACCATGCGTTGCAGACACCGCCCAGCTCGGAGGTCCGGGAGACCCCCCGACCACACCCGAGGATGTCTGACGACCCCCCGGGTCAGGGCGCGGCGGGATTAGGGCCTGCGCTCTCGCGCGTGGGGGAGGGGGTCCTCCCAAAGAAGCTGGCGGGGTGGCGGGGGAGCGGGCGGTCATCGGGGTGCGAACCCAGTTCTGAGCCTTTGGGAGCCCATCGCTCATAATAAAGGTCAAATTAAACACCTGAACTAGTGGTGCCGGCAGGGACGCGCTGCATGGTCGTGGGAAACCGGGTTATGAATCTTCCTTCCCGAGCAGTGCTTTTCTTGTGTGCAAGAATGGGGTCGTGCAAGAACCCCCCGGAGGCGCGCACTGTTCTAAAGCATAAGTGGATTCCGCAGCCTCTTCCCCCACCTTTCTACGGCCCCGTCTCCTGCTGCACCACCCTAGAAGGCAGGAATTCGGAGAAAATGCGGTGTCACGTTCGCCGCTGTGCCGGCGGACGCGTCTGCGCCAACTCCAGCAACACGTGGGGACCGGGAATCTGGGCGTCTGCTCTCCACTTGAGTGCTTGTATTTGTAGGATTATTTATTATAAGCAGATTGGAAGGAGAAGTCTGTCGCTGCACTTGATTGTTTCAAACTTTTGTCCAAAGCAGTTTGTACTTGGTACGTGCGGGGACGCGGTTTCCAGCCGAGGCTGCGCGGCGCTCCGGGGAGGCGAGGGCGCGGCACGGAGGAAGGCGGAGGCCCCTGGTCCCTGGGTGACCGGCTGGGCAACTCGACTTTGCCCTTGAGGGCCTTTCCACCGGAATGGGAGCCTCAGGCAGCATTAAAGCTGGGGGCCTGGACCCACGGGTACGTGGGTTTCTCTGGGCACGAGACAAATGGCTGCACGTTTACCTCGCCAGGGGGGCTCCGCGGAACGCTTCTGGTGCCAACGCTAGATGGGAAACCTCGGAGGAAGCTGAGCATCTGAGCATTGTAAACTGGGCGATGGGGAGAAGCATTCGATATAAGCAATGCCTTGCACCCTTTAAGCCCAACTCCCCGCCCCCACTTCTCCAAACAAAGTTTAGGGACTCTCATCCATAAAGCATAAATCCGCCGAGATGAAAAATGCGCTGTTAAAAAACCCCAAAAAACTCTTTAATAGGAAGAGGGGTAAATTGTCCATTTCCAGGTGTTGCTACGTTAAAATTAGAGGTTGATTGTGACGAGAATCCCAGCATGCAGGACACAGGCAGATAGAATTTTCGCAATTAAAAATAAGTAGGCACTGACCCCCCCTCCACCCCCCCAACCCCCACCCCCAGTCAGCTACTCCAGCAAGGACTGGGGCCAGCGAGGCCGTAGAGCCGGGTAGGGGTCACTTGTTGCCTCTCCGCCAGAGGAGGTCATTTCCAAGAGGATCTGGAGGATATTAAGAGTTAAAAACCCTGCTCCGGTATGTGGGCGCTCCAGCGGCCACGGCAGGCAAGGGCACTGATTCCGTGCCTGGAGGAGATGCGGTTTCTAGTTTTGTTTTGTTTTGTTACTTTAAGTCTGGACCATGTTTGCTTGAAATGCTTTGTCTTGCACGTCTGGAAATGACTCTGTGCGGTAAATGCTCGCGCGCGCGCACACTCACGCGGGCGCCCCCCGCCCCCACACACACACCCGGGGGTCGCCCCGCATGTTGGGTGGGGGAGGCGAATGGCACAGGTACCTCGGACCTTCTTGGGCTCTGCCCTTGGGAAAGCAGAGCGAGGGAGATGGCCTCCATGTGGCTGTTGACTTGAGACAGGTAAAGGCACGCCTACCTCCGCTTTGGGCACGGGGATTGAGGATTGGGGAGCCTGGTACAGATACAGGGGCTGTCCAGGTACACGCGCAGCGCCCGCTGGGGTACAGGGTACAGGTATAGGGCCGGCAGGTTCTCGGGACTCGAGTTCATTGTTTATGGGGTCACGCTCGGTGGAGAAAATGCGCGATGCCGGAGAGAGGGGTGACCCAGGGTCCGCGCGGAGCCGACCCCCTCGCCGTGGGAATGCGGCCCAGGGGGTTCGCGCGGCAGAGTCCGCGGCGCCTGGCTGCCACCCGAGAATTTGCCTTCAGCGTCCTCCGGTGGCTCTGGCCGGGGTTTGCGGAGCAAAAGCGGAGCACGCGAGCAACTCTGCGGGTTTGGAGCAGCCGCGTGTAAGGGGCTGTGAAAAGCTGCCTCGTGGGCACTTAAGGGCTGAGGGTAACAAAGTGAAGAATTTATGCTGTTTTTTACATTAAGTTCAGTCTTGCTGAACGCTTCAAAGACTGATAGAAATTTGGAGGGGTGTGTGTGTGGGTGTGTGTGTTGGTGGGTGGGCATGGAAAGGGGTTTATACTAGGGTTCAGGACCACTTTGGGAAATACCCAATTGAAGGAATTTTCCCATCTGGGCCGCGCTCTCCGGAGCTCTAGGACCTGGGTGGAGACGCCGCTGCTGCGCTCGCGGTCACTTCCCGCATTATGGCACCTGGCGTTGTCCTGCAACTCCCACGACCCGCAGTCAGACCCTTCCGCTCCGGCTGGAACCAGCAAGTCTTGGCCCAGCCTGGCCCCTTTAAACGGACCTTTTTTCTCTGCCTTCCACCCGGAGGGCAGGTGAACGCCGGCAGGCACCGCAGTGCGACTGGCGGGCACTTCGCAGCCCCGCGCCACCTCCTCTGCACCAGGCGCCCGACTGCGGGGCTGCTGCGGCAGCGCGGTCACAGCATGCCAGTGCCTCCCCGCCCCCCGCGGCCACACCCTAGACGCGTGCCATCCCACCCTACCACCCCCAGCACCCCCACCCCCAGCGGCCGCACACCACGGCCTTCTCTTTCCAGCGCGCTCCCGGCGCGGACCCCAGTACTGGCGGGTGGAAGCCTGGATCCGTGTGCCCGCGCTGGTGTGCAAGCGTGTGGGAGTGTACATGACCGCCACCGGCGATCCCACCGCTGTCCCCAACTCGGGGTCCACCCACGTGGAAACCACCGGCCCTCGCCGGTCCCTGGAACTCGGCTGCAGGTGCAGTTCCCTCGAAGCCCCAAGGCGCTCTCACCGGTCTCTGTCCACCCCAGCCTTTCCCCCCAAGTCAGGGTTTGGCCATTAGGGAAGCCCCTTCGTCCGCACCCCCAGGCATCCCCGGACAAAGCCGGAGTAGTGAAGAGGCCCTGGCACCCGGAGGGACGCGCGCGCGGAGAGCTCCTCCAGGCGCCAGGCCTCGGTGCGGTCCCTGCCTCATGATGTGCCCCTTGGGTGCCGAGGTGGGGCTACGGGTGTCTCCTGTGGGGCCAGCACCCCATCGCTGCTCCTTGAGCACTGACACCCCGCCCCCGCGGCGCTGCAGGAAGGAGGCTGGCGGCGCGGGTTCCTCCACACCCACGTGCCCTTCGTGTGCGCGCCCCCGGCCTGTAGATGGTACCAGACTAGTGCCACCGGGATTTCCGGGCGGCCCCACCCTGCTGGCCGCTACGCTTCGCTCCCAGCACTGGGGTCTCTTTGGCGTCTCTGCTGCAGCACCGCAGACCAGGCGCGGCCTCTGCACGCCGGCTGGTGCTGCCCAGAGGCTGCACCTCCCGCCCCTGTCCCGCACTCACCTTTTTCTTGTGGGGAGTGGGGTTCAGTCACTGCACTCGCGCCGTTCAGGCGGGACCCAGAGCCTACGGAGGGTGCAGCAGGAGGGCGTTCCCCCGGCGCCAACACCCTCCTTAAACCTTCCCTCGCTTTCAGCACAGCACCTTCATCAGCCTCCCTGACTGTAGGGGAGGCAAAGCTCTTGCTCCCTCTGATTACTCCTTCTCACTGCCACACCAGCACGCGCGCGCACACACTCACACACACACACCCCTGAACACCGAGAGGCCATGAGCAACTTTAATTCCAACGCTATGCAGCGTCTATCACGTCCCTGACAGCAAGGTGAGGGAGTGGCACTTATGACTTAGGTGGTTTCTTAACATTGACAAAATTGCCTTCTGCTCCTGACCACTGCTTTTTTTTTTTTTTACATGCTGTTTGGAAAAATAAACAGCCCAGGAGCATTCACACATTTAAAAAATATTAAACTACTTTTAGATAATCATAGATTCACCAGCAGTTATTCATAATACAGAGAGATTTTGCAGCACATGCCACTCAGTTTTCCACAATGGTAACAATTCCCCAAACTATAGCACACTCACAGCCAGGATTTAGACACCGACACAATCTACCAATCCTACTTACAATCTTCTGCCCCCCACCTACCCCCCAGTACTCTTTGTGCATGTGTGTAT